CAGTAGCAAAACCAGTACGCATGCCGGTACGGTATTGACTACTTTGTTTTAAATACAACCAAGTTCTGCACTACCGAGATCAGATAATTTAATGTCTTTTTGCTAATTCTGATACTAGTGAAGAGTTTGATCCTCTTTTCACCCTTTCCGATTTAGATCTAAGTCCTTTGAAAGAGGTTAGGTTTAGGAGTGAGAGTTACATAAAGCGTGAATTATAGTTTATTGAAGATCCTAATTACATCCCACCTTCTACTCTGTGTAGTGAAAGCTACAAAATGGAAGATATGTCATCAAGAGAAACAATGAGTGTTGGGGGGAGTGAGGAAGTTAGGATGATGGAGGAAGTTAGTCTAGAGACTGAATTGTCTAGGTCAAAGAGAATGGTGGAAGAAAGGGGAGGTGAAGAGGTAGTTGAAGGAGAGGGAATTCCTATGAATATTTTGGAAGTTGTAGGTGAATGTGAGAGATGTTATAATGTAGAGGCAAACATTGTGTCTGAGGTGATGTGGTAAGAGATAGAATGGCTGAGTAAGGAGAGCCTAGTACACATAGTTGAGACATATGATCTCCCTTCTCAAGTGTTGATTAGGCCAGCTGAAGTGAAGGAGAGGGCATGTTCAGCACCTCGAGATCATTGGATGCCAATTTACGCCCATTATTTATCGGCAGGGCTGAGGTTCCCCATCTTAGAATCTCTGGTTAGGTTGTTGTTGGAGTACAATATAGGTTTAACACAACTTGTCCCAAATGCCATGAGGGTAGTAATAGGTTTTTTAGTTTATTGCCAAGCTCGGGGAGTTAAGGTGCCCACTATAAACATGTTTAAACATTTTTTTGTTATAAAGGGTGGGAGTAAGAAGGAGAAAGGCTGGAACTATTTTACTCTCCGAGTATCCAATAAGGAGAAGAGAAACTTGTTTAATTCAAGGCCATCATCTATCAAGGGATGGAAGGAAAATTCTTTTTTGTTGATGACACTAAATGGGGGAGGGGGGATGCCGAAGTGGAATTCCTATGCACTTGAAAGGCAAAGAAGGCCAACTAGAATAAATATAGTTTAAATAGGGATGAGGAGGAGGAAGAGGTAGAGAAGTTGGTGAAAGAAGGGGATGATGTTGAAACATCATGTATCTCACCAGCTTAGATGCTGTGGAGGCGGCTGAGCTTTATGGAGTGAACTCTTTAAGTAAATGTGTGTTTTATTTTGTATTGTGTAATTTGAAGTGGGGTCCTAATGGTTGTTTTAACATTTCACTATTTTGCAGATGAAATGGACGAGTTCCTTTCCATAGCTAGGGGGTGGCGATTCCCAAGAAGTCATAAAAGAAGTCAAAGACTTTAGTTGCAACTACTGTTGCAAGTGTAGGAGGAGTTAGAGGTAAAGAGAAAGGATAGCCTTCCAGTACCTTAGTTTGAGCTCTAGATGTTGAAGGGCCAAGGTCGGAGCTCAAGCGAAAGAGAAGTGAGGACACTAGGCTTGCTTAGAAAAGGATGAGGGTGGAGGAGCAGAAGTGTAGGAAAGGCGAAGTGGAGTTCGTACCTCATCCTCCCCCAGTTGAGCTCAATCTTGAACTTAGGGAGGTTGGGGTTATAACCCACAGAAAAGGGAAATCCCTTATTCTTGCTCCTTCATAGCAAGGTAGCTTGTTCGACACAAAGAGCATGACAGTTGCAAAGAGGTTTACAAACTCAACTTTCCTTGAGGTGGATTATCATCGAGCTCGGGAAAAGGTGCTGAGCCATGGTGGGGTTGGGATTGTTAAGCACGTCCTTGAGGTATGACTAGGTTTTACGACTAGACTTTTTCTTCTACTTAGTTGTCTATTTATTTTCTAATTATTGTGGTGTTATAGGCTGCGAGTTTAATGAATGCACTATCACAGAAGTTTTTTGAAACTCTTAAGGAATCTAATGTTTTGGCAAAGGAGAAGGAGGATCTGGGGAAGAAAAAGGAAAAGGTGGAGAAGGATCTAGTAGAAGCTATATTAGAGCTTATGCGGCTTCAGGAGGAGAATGATTCATTAAAGACAAAGCTCATGTTTGAGGAGAGGAAGAGGAAGATTTGTGAGGATAAGATAGCAGTGTAGGAGAAGGAGATTGTTAGAATGAAAAAGGTTGCTATAGAGCTGAAGAAGAACGTAAATCTACTGGTGCACAACGCAATGGAGGATCACATTGCACAGTGCTTGAAATCCAACACTTTCGACAACATCGTGAATCTCTATCGGCTTCCCACAACTATTCTGGCGTTCTCTGACTGCAGGAAGAATGTGAAGGCACAACATCCCAAACTAGATGTGACTAGTATCACCTTTGGGGAGCAAGAATGAGGAGTGGAGGAAAATGGAGAGAGTATGACGCCTAATTTCCATCCTAAAGTCGAGTTGAAATGGGATCACAATAGTGAAGGTCGTACCATTTTTCCTCCAAACTTCAACTTTAAGTTCGTTGCGGTTGAAGAGGGAGAACCAGAAGCCAAAAGTGCTGAGGTCGATTAGCAACCTCCACCAGAAGTGAACTAGCCACCTTCTCCAACATAGTAGCCATGCTTTGTTTTCATGATTTCTTTCTTCCTATGCTAAACTTTGAACAATATGTTTGTTTTGTTCGAGAAATTTTTGTAACATTTATTTATCAATTTATTTATATATTTGGGATTTGTTCTGAACATTTGTTTTATTGCGTGTGCTTCAAGTAAGGATTAAAAGGAAATCACCTTGAATGTGAGGTGAAATTCATTGATAAATTTAAGTTCAAGGAATGAAATGAATTAACAAATTGAGCTCAGACAAAGGTTCCAAGGAACTAAATTAGTGACAAATTGATCTCGAATAGAGAAATTAATAATCATAAAATAAAATAAGACAAGGTTTGTTGGGGGAATTGAATTAAGGGTAAAACTTTTTCAGATTGTTCACCTTCCAGACTTTGGGAACCCTTTTCCTTTTAGCATTTTGAAGAATATAGGCACCTAGGTGCGGTAATTTGACCACTATATAAGGACCTTCCCAATTTGAGGCGAGTTTGCCAAAACGAGTTTCAAATCCCGTTAAACCAGCCTTCCTTAGAACAAGGTTGCCAACTCTAAATGTTCGAGGGTGAACCCATTTGTTGTAAAAGTTGGCTAATCTCTACTTGTATGCCAAAGTTCAAAGTCGTGCTTCCTCTCTGACTTCGTCAAGCAGATCATGGTTCTCTCAAAGTAGTTGTCCATTTCGTCCTTCATCAAAATGGGTGACCATGAATCTTGGGACTCCTATTTCAATAGAAATGACTACTTCGGTACCAAAGATCAGGTGGTGTGGTGTTTTAGCTATTTCATAAGTTACTGTTTTAGTATATGCTTTATATGTTATATAGATTTGACCTAAAATTGAGCAACAAGAAAAGAAATAAAGTAATATGAGAGTAGATGGGATTAAGAAATAGTAACTGTGGTAGTTCAGCTCATTGTTCTATATATCCAGAGCACGTTGTTACGCTCGTTTACCCACCTGGTCTTATGCTGCTCCAACCTCGGTTTGATTCCTTCTAGAATAACTTTATTAACAGATTCCATCATACCATTGAACTTTGGGTGATAAACCGAGGTAAACTATAATTTGACTCCGTAATTGGAGTAGAAGTCTCTAAATGAAGAACAATTGAACTGAGTTCCATTATCAGCGATAATTTGATTCGAGATTCCATATTTGCAGATAATTGAACTGAAAATGAAGTCTTCAACCTTTTTGGAGGTAAGGCTGGATAATGGTTGAGTTTCAACCCATTTTGTGAAGTAATCAACTCCAACTACTAGGTGGGTTACTCCTCCAACTACTTTGACAAATGGGCCTAAGAGATCGAGCCCCCACTGAGCAAATGGCCATGGTACCACCAAGTTCGTAAGTTCCTCTGCTAGTTGATGATTTAGATGTCTAAAGAATTGACATTATGGGCATCCTTGCACGAAGTGAGTGGCATCTTTGTGCATATTTGGCCAATAGTATCCTTGTTTGAGGACTTTATAAGCTAGGGTTCTAGCATCGACATGACTTCCACAGACACCTTCATGTACCTTATGAAGTGCATATTCGACTTCATAAGAGCTCAAGCACCAAAAAAGAGGAAGTGAGAAAGACCTTTTATACATGACTCCATCAATTATAGTATACTAAGATGCCTTCTTTCTCAATCTCATTTTTTCTTACTTATCTTCAAGAATTGAACCATCTTGTAAAAAAGACATAATTGCGTTTGTCTAGCTTGGTGTGTTCGGATCTATATTGATGTCCATCATCTTTGTCCTTTGGAAGCTAGGCTTATCTAGAACCTCAACAAAAACTAATCTTGTGCCTCGAGAACTGTCAGAGGCGAACTTAGAAAATGAATCTGCTTGCTCATTTTTATCTCAAGGGATTTTACTCAAATAAAACTTCTCAAATTTGCACATGAGTTCGGCCACTATGGCTACATACTTTGTCAAAATGAGGTCGACTACCTCATAGACTGAGTTAAGTTGATTAACCACGAGCTGTGAATCATTGTAAATCTGTATTGCTACGACTTGTAGCTTTGACGCCAGTTATAAACCAAGCAGCAAGGCTTCATATTCTGCCATGTTATTAGTTGCATCAAAATTAAACTTCAAGGCAGCTCACTTTCATAGCGATTTGGTCCCACCAGGACTACTCCAGCTTTTGACCCTTTATTATTTGATGCACCATCAACATACAAAACCCATGTATCTAGTTCAACTTTCTGACGTAGCTAATAAGAAGTGCATTCAATAATAAAGTTTGCTAATGCTTGAGCTCGGATTGTTGATCTATGTTGGAATGTTATTTCAAACTCCCCTAACTCAACTGCCCATTTGATCAATCTACCAGAACATTCTGGTTTCTGCAATATTTGTTGAAACGGTTAATCTGTGAGGACAATAATCAGGTGTGACTGAAAATATGACCTTAGCTTCTTGACGGAAGTAACAACTGTTAAAGCTACTTTTTTAGTAATAGAATACCTCTACTCTACCCTATGTAGTACTTTGTTGATATAGTAAATTGGTTCTGTTGCTTTCCTTCTTTTCTTACTAGTACAGAACTGATTACTTCATTTGAGATACCGACATACAAGTAAAGGATTTCCCCATCAACAACTTTTGTCAAGAATAGAGGTGAGCTAAGATAAGACTTAAGCTCATCGAATGCAGCTTGGCATTCTGAATTCCATTCAAACTTTTTCTACTTTCTAGATTTGTCTTTTTGGCATTGGATAATAGTCCTTGGGATAATCCTTGGGACAGGCCTGGTTGAGATTAGTGTAATCGATGCACATTAACCACTTGCCATTATCTTTCTTGACAAACATTGGGTTGGAAACCCATTCACAATAATCAACTCTTCTAATAAAGCATACTTGCAAAAGTTTTTCTACTTCATCTTTAATCACCTTGAGTCTCTCCCCTTCGAAGAGATGTTGTTTTTGTGCAACTGGCTTTTTCAAGGGATTGGTGCTAAGTTTGTGCATAGATACAAAGGCGGGGATTCCTGGCATGTTTGTAGAAGTCCACACAAAAACATCTTTGTTAACTCGGAGGAAAGCTATTAGCTCAGCTCTTTCCTTTGGATTCAAATGAGTTCCAATTTGGGTTTTTCTATTCAGATCTTTGTCATTAATATGTACTTCCTCAACATCTTCAATTGGAGCAGCCTGGGTTTCATTCTCTGGCTGATTATCAGGTATCTTGACCCCTATCACCCACTGTTGATCATGAACTTCCTATGGAACAGTTTTTGACATCTGATTCTTTTCTTTCTGAGGTCTTGTAACTGAGTTAATATGATAATGTCTGGCTATTTTCTGATTACCTGTAGTGTTGTTATTCCCATGGGAGTGGGGAACTTCATATAGATATGAGATTGGGAGACTACAGTTCAGATCTCCGTTAATGTAGCCCGACCTATAACAACGTTAAAAGATGAAGCCATTTTAACAACTAAAAACCGAACTGAAGGGGTGACATAAGTTCGACCACTCCCAAATGCAACGTTAAGGGTAAAGACCCCTTCCACCTAAACAGGCTGATTGTTAAGGTCATATATAATACCGTCGTATCTCTACAATAGAGCTGGATCCAGGCCCAAACTCTCGAAACAATGGTAATACATGATATCTGGTACACTACCTGTATCAATAAGAACATGTTGTACTTCTCAATTGTTGATAATAATAGATGTGACCAATGGGTCATTATAGGGTGTTACAACTCCATCGAGGTCAGCAGATGTAAAAGTGATGGGTTGATTCTTCTATTCAGCATCATCGAACTTTCGTTTCTAAGCTTGGTTTTGATGTTTTACCTTTCTAACATATAGCTTCCGTTGTTTCGAGCTCAAACCTCCTATTTCCAGACCACTTGTGATCATGTGAATGATTCTAGCTAGTGGTAGAAGGGGTGGTGGAGCTTGTTGATATCCCATTCTGTGCTTATTATTTGCATTACGAGACCCCTATGGCTATGACCCTTACTTCTTAACAAAGTTGGGCTGATCTATTCTCTGGATGTATTCATTCAACATTCCCTTCTAAGCTAAACTTTCCAAGTCAAACTTCAGATTGTTACATTCCTCCATTGTATGACCATGATCTTGATGAAAATCACAGTATCTAATGTGATCTCGCGTAGCGACAGAGCTTCTCATTGGCGTTGGCCACCTCAAGTCCATCTTATTTTTAATATGCATAAATATTTGCGACCTTGATAGATTAAAAGGGGTCCACGCAACTGGTGCTTTCCCAAAAGTTTGTTGAGGAGCCACTAAATCTAGTTTTCCAAATCTGGGAGTAGAGGTCGGCATCGAACCTTGGTTTGGAACTATCTTCAGTCACTTTTACTCTACCCCTCTTCTCTCCAATCTAGATTGTGGTTTTTAACCAGCATTGGCTTTTGTGATAAAGCATATTCTTTAATGGTTATAAATTTCAAGGACCTAACGTTAACTTCATCATAGGTAACAAGGGGATGCTTAATGAGATTGTCCCTGAATCTTTCATGATTGAGGCATTGAATTACGGCTGTGATTCCCACAGCTTGATCAAATGAGCTAACCTTAAGAACTGCATCATTGAATCTACTCATGTAGTTTTTCAAAGACTACCCCTCCATCTACATGACTCTCATGAGCTCAGGTATGGTTTTCTTGATTAACCTCCTATTAGAAAACTTTGTAGTAAAAACAGACACCATCTCTGTATAAGAGCTGATAAATCTCGGAGGTAAACTATAGTACTAAGTTCGAGTATTACCTCGGAGAGTAAAAGGAAAGATTTTGCACATCAAGGCATTAGAGGCATTCTGAGCTTGCATACAGAAATAGAAAGCATGTAGATGATCATTTGGGTCCTTAGTTCCATCATATATTTCAAACTGAGGTATCTTGAAGCCAGTAGGATAAGGTTCCAAAGTTATATTGGTGTTTAGAGGATGAGGTATTTAAGTAGTATTATTCTAAAGAGGTGGAGTGCCTCACTGCTCAACCACCATCTTTTCTAAACTGTTTAGACATCGTGTGACATCATCAAGCAGAGGTTGCTGTGGTGGGGGCACATGAGACTGACCTTGTGATTCATTGAGGGCAGGAGTAGGTCGGTGATCATTGGAGCAAACTGGGTGGGGTTCTTGCGACTAAACTTGGTGTTACTGAGTTGGGTTCAGTAAATTAATGAGGGGATCACTAGGGTTATTTCAGGCTAAGAGCTGAGCTAAAACCAATTGAAAGACAACAAACTGCTGTTGCATTACTACGAGCTGAGCTAAGACTACATCACCTTGGTTGGGAGTAGGAGTTGAATTGTGAGGTTGGTTTTCATCAGCTCCTTCTGCATGTTCTACAGGAGAAAATAGATTTGGGGTATGAGGTGGAAAGTTATTTGGGTGCTGAGCTTGGCCCCATTCAATAGGTTGAGCTTAACTTCTAGTTTGGACCGACCAAGTATTAACCATGATAAGTAAACAATAATGGAGCTTTTAATTTGGATTCTCACAGATGGTGCCAAATGTAATTGCAATGAACTAGTAGATCTTCTTCAGTCCAAGTCCTCTCTTCAGGTTAACCTACAAAGCCCCAAGGTGGATCATTAGGATAAACACTCTAATGCTTAAGTTAGCAATAATATGGTATACCTTTAAGAATTATGGAAAAAGAAGCTTTATGTCGATTTTATTTATCTTTTTGAGGTGGCCCCTGGGGGGTGTTTATAGGTCTTAATGAGGTATCCACGTGGTTTGCTTAATAAGATAATCGAAGTCTGACGTGTCCATTCAGGTGATGATCTCGGGAATAAAGGATTGGGTGTGGACATGCCTACTATAGCTATCATGCAACTGTATGATTGAGAAGAATTGAACTTATGAGTTATCTCGGTCATTAAAGAAATGTAGCAGTATGTCTAAGGTCTTTAACCTCAGACCTATCTTTACACCTTCCATACCCAAAACCTCTTGGATTTCCTCTTCCCCTTCCACGCGACCCTTGGCTTCTCTCTTCCTTTGGTTTCATCTTTCTTTCTTCATGCAAATCCTCAACCTTGCCCTTCTCTTCCCGTTGAAGAGCAACCGGTAGCCATCTCTCAAAAGGCTGCCGGCAATCATCTTTGTTCTTCTCCTTCCTTGGTTCCAAACCTTCTAATCTCATCATTTTTGACTCTTTTCCATGTCAAACCCACCTTCTTGAACCAATTCCCACAAGCCAGCATCATTTACATCGGTGAGTGAACACCAAAAGTGGAAAGGATAGAGCTAGATCTATAGATCGGCAATGGAGGTGATGCTCACGTGAAGCTTTGGCAATTCGACAAAGTTTCAAACTCCCTTTCAACTAGAACAGATCTGCAGATCTATGCTACCACAAATTACAAGTGGGTGATAAAGGGTTGGAATCAACGCAGATTGAGGCCCAATTGCATTTCACAAGTCCAAATAAAGAGAGAGCAGATTTGAGAGGCCCAAAAGCAAGGCCTGGAGAAGTGAGTTTTGGGATTTAGGGTTTTGGTTTCAAGGGATATAAATAGGGATTTTAGGAGTAGAAAAAAGGGGGGGGGGGAGATTTCTATTTTGGGGAGATTTCTATTTTGGGGAGTGGCGATTGAAAGGAAATCATTGAGCTCTCCGAAAGGGTGACTGGTTGTGCTTTCCAGAGGAGCTCTATTTGTTGGGTTTATCTTTGTAGGTAATTTTCAAAACAGAGGGTTCTTTTAGGGAAATGATGGGAGCTTAATCCTGTGAGTGGGATTCCTCCCATCAAATCCAGATTCATTTTTCCTTTAAGAATCTACCATGTTTGTTTTTTTGTTGTTGAGGTTTCTTTCTTTAGGTTTTGATGTCAAATTTGTGTAAGTTTGTTGGAAATGAATGAAAAATCAAGGAATGATTTAGTTCATGTGCCTAATATTTATCTTACTTGATGAATGTGTTTTCTTTTTTCTTTTTCTTTTTTTTTTGCGACAAAATGAACCCTAAATTGTGATTTTGTTTTCTTTTTTTTTCTTTGGTTTGATCTGTTTCTCGCATGTGTTGCTTGATGGATTTTGTTTTTGGGCTAGGTCAATCCAACCCAATCCAATAAAAGAAAAAACTAATACTAAAACAGTAAAGTAAAAAAAAATCTGATATAAATAAAATGAATTAATTAATTTGGATAATTAATTTAATTTATGATTAATAAAATTAATTAACTTTAATTAAAATGAATTAATAATATTTAGTGATCTTAATCTAAGATAATTATATTACTTAATTATTTTGATTAAAGATTAATAACTGTGATTAATCAATTTTAATTAATTTTAATTGATGTTAAATTAATCATTCAATTAAGCTAATTATCTTAGTTAATTTATTTAAATCTTTAATTTCCTTTAATCTTGGTCAAAGTCAAAATTACCCTTGTTTATTCCAAATTTCACCCAAAACTTTTATAATCAAACAATTTAGTCCAAAGGTTTCAAATCTTTCCAAATCAATCTTTCATATTTATAATTTAATCAAATTAGTCCCTTTAATTTTTATTTGCGCTCATTGTTCATGCATATTTTGATTTTGTTCGTTTTAGTCCAAAGATTTAAAAATGTTGCAATCTCATCCATCTTTTTTTTTTTTTTAATTTGCTTATTAAAAACTAAATATAAAGTTAATGAATAAGTTGAATTAAAACCCCAATGTTAAAGTATGCAATCGTGTTAAATGGAGGATTTGTGAGGTGCACATATGCCATTCTTCACTCTTAACCAAACTCCCGAACCTCAATCTCTACGAAAACCCATTTTAGGTAACTTGTCCCATTTTATAATTTGGACGAGTGGCAACTCCTTTTTTTTTATATATTTTTCACACTTAATTTTTCATTATTTATCTTTTCTTTTTCAATTTTGAAATCTTAAGTTTGGTCATCAACAATTACTACCCCAAAAAATGAAGCAAACTATCCAATTAGAGGGTTATGGCCTTCCTCCCCACATTTTTTATTTTATTTTTTCCTCCTTTTATGAGATCATTTAACGTTCTTGGGTGATGCCCTATTAAAACATGATGATAAGATCTATAGGTGCTTCATAAACAACCAACTTTGGCCTATAAATTTGTTGAAACTTGTATATTTAATTCTTAAAGTAATCTAGCAAACTTCCTCCCTTTATCTCAATTCAAGTTAAAACAACAAGATCAATTAAAATCCATCAAAACCATTAAAGATGAATGCACAATCCCCTTCAAGGCACTAATATCAAACCCTACCCCTAATTCTTTCAATATTTCATGATTACAAATAAATGAAGGTTGAATTTAGGCTTACTTTTTCACAGTGTTTTCTTACATAATACCTCATAAAAGTGTTAATTTATAGTAATTAAATTAATTTTAATTAATGTTTTGCATATTTTAATGGTCATATTAATATATAAGACTCTTTTTAGGGCAATTGGCAAATAACAACATAATTTTTCTCATGATAGAACTCTGAAAAAGCCAACAGTCACATCACATTACATCAATAACAAAACACAACCAAAATCCAAACTACAATCATCCAACGCCAGTATATGTCACTTACCTTTAATTTGTTATTATTAGAACTATTTTTTTCAAAAGAGAAGATAAATATAAAGATACTATTTGGGAGAGAGGCACGAGTGTTTTCCCTCCATTTTTTTAGTTATTCTTAAATAAAAATGTCTTTATTAAATGTTCTTATTTCAAAACCAACTTTATTACCCTATTCTATTAATCAACTAGAGTAATTTTTATGAAGGACAAATGTATAAAATTACAAATATCAATGAGTATTGTGTTTTCATTCGGTGTTTAATAAAATTTCTTCGTAAATCTAGAATGAGACAAATAAATAACGAAGGTATAATTTTAAGTTGGGGATTGGATTAGGCTAAGATAACTTGTTTTGCAGACTTACACTATCTGTATCTCATCTCTTATGGTTGGTATGCAACTACAAAATAATTTAATATAAGAAATTGTAAACGCTATAACATGGTCTGCTATGTTATTTTACACTATTTTTAATTATTAATAAAAGGGTTATATCCTAATATTAGGAGAATATCCTTTTATTAATAGTTAAAAAAAAATATACTCTACACATTTGTTTGCAATAACAAATTGATTAAAGGCTACACAAACTTTTGAGGGTGTTTGTCAAAGTTCAAAAAGAAACTTACATTTAAGTAAATTTTTCTCTCACAAATTTAAAGATGGATAATGGTATGCACATAGTTTTTTTGTACAACTTTCTATACAACATTCACATATTATTAAATAAGTAAATACATATAATATTATAGGTTCTAATAGAATGAAGAGTAAATCATTAAATAACATATGAATTTGTATGAAAAAATTATATAAAAATATTATTTCTTAATTATTTTTCTTTGATAGTTTATTAGAGAAAAAATTAGTTTTTAAACTTTAAAGTGACTTGTAAATATAAAATTTTAAATTTATGAGAAGAATTTGCTTAAAAGTGAGTCAATTTTTAAGCTCCACCAAAGCACCTCTTCATCTTCTTGGAATTGAGGTTGCAAACTTAGATTATTATGAAAATAAGGATAAAATATTCATAGTTTATATTGGCTAGAAATAGGGCAATGCTACAAGTTTAATCCCACTTAATATTATACATTAGATAATAGGTAATATGTGGTGGGATTAATCAAATGCATATAATATGATGGATGATTATAAAATAAAAAAAGTCAATTATATAATTTATAAATTATATCATACATCTTAACCACTTAAGTATATCACTAGTAATTTTTTTTTTCTATAGAAGATGTTTTGAATTTAAATCACAAGTCATATGAGTGTGAAAAGTTAAGAAACAAAGAAAAGTTGTCTCTATTATATAAACTAAAATTAAAATACAAAAGAGTCATAATATACATATTATTATACAAAAAATATTGTATGGGAATCCTTTTCTATACTACAAAGGTATTTACCAATCTCTTGATAACTAAAGCTTCATTTGACAATATTTTTTGATACTTTAGTTTTTGGTTTTTATATCTTTTTACTATTCTAAAAATATTTAAACTATTAATCAAAATAAATATTAAATATAATAAATATATTTTATATATTTTTAGAATTAGAAAAACTAAAAAGTCAATAACTATAACTACATATTAGCATTCTCAAGCTAAAGTTAAACTTTAAAAACTTTTGATATGATGGGTTTTTTTCTTTTCTTTTTTTTTTTAATACATCAAAGGATGGATATAAAAATTTAAGTTTTTAACCGTTGGAATACCCCTAAAAAATGATATGATGGACTCTATAAGTGGTGTGAAACTTTGATTTCTCCATCCAAGTAGAAAATGAGTATGTAACAAATTAATTGATCATTAGTAATAACATGGAGATAAATTTTTTGTATAATTTTTAATATAACTTTCATATATTATTAAATGAATGTGTATATACAATATCATAAGTTCAAGTAGAATGAAAGAGCCAATCATTAAATAATATGTAAAATTATATAAAAATATACAACAAAATTATCTTTTAATTATTTCTCTTAATTTGAAATCTATGAAGTAATAACACTTTTTGTATTTAATGTATATAATTAAAAAAAATTTAAAATTTATCAATGAAAAACTAACAACAAAAATTGAATTCTTTTTGAAAAAAAAAAATTGCCCCCTCACTTTCTACCATTCCCAACGTGAATGACGTCAAGAATTATTATCTTAATGGATACTATTTGGTATGTTCTCTAATTTAATAGATTATACAATATATTTATTAAAAATTATTATTATTTATTCAAAATTTAAAACAGACAAATTTAAAAATACAGTTATATATATAATATATAAAAAGCAACTAAACTAATTATATTAACATTATATTTCAATAATTAAATCAGAGGATACTAAAAAGATATTTAATTACCAATCATTTTCCTTATCTTAATAGATATCTAATAAAATTCTCTCTTAAATCAACCATATATTGATTGCCTTCTATATTTATCATATTTTCTTTTTGATGAGGCACATAATAGCATCAATACCAATACAAGAACTAATTTACCCAAAAATAAATTAATATATGAATTCATTCAATAATTTAAATTATGCAATTTAATTACTATTAAAAAAACAAGAGTACAATTGACAAAATAATTGTTGGTTATAGAGTTATAATTGACAGCATCACTATTGGTTATGTAAATGTCAATTTGTTTTTGTTGAAAAGTCCTATGTTAAGTGCCAAACTTACCAAAGATTCTTGATTAAGCTCCTAATTTTTAATTAAACCAAGTAAATCCCTAAACTTAATAATTTGAACAGTTTTACTCTTTTTTTTTTTACTAAGGACTTAATGTCCATTTGTCTCTTGTTTGCATTAACAAGATAGTGACATGTCAAACATGGTGGTTATTAACCTCATTCATGTAAGTAAGGCACAAATGGGCATTAAGTTTGCAAGTACAAATGAGCATTAAGTCTATCGTAAGGAAAAGGGTTAAATTGCCTACATTGCCAGGTTCAAGGACTTATTTACTTAATTGAAAATTTAAGAGCTTAATTGAGGATTTAAAGTAAGTTTGAGGGCTTAACATAGGGTTTTTAAATAAGTTTTAGGGATGAAAAAAGTATTTAAATTAGTTTAGAGAGAAAAAATGTATAGTTTAAAGTTTAGAGATCTAAAATTAGCATTTCACCATCAATAATAAATAATAAACTAACCTTAAGGGTTAGATGCGAAAATGGTTTAGTCTTGGAAGAGAATTTTAGGGTGCTTCCTATATATAGTTTTCTCATATCATTGTACTTTAGCTATGACTTAAAGACTTAAATCCTAATTTGGAGGTCTTTCTTCCCTTTATGTACAAAAAAACCCTAAGTACGTAGCTCACCTACCTCCACTCCTTTCTTCTTAATGAAAATGGTTCCTTTTCCTTCTACATGCCTTTCTTTATCATTATTGTAAACTATTGACTTATTGATGCAATTTGTATTAAAAATTTAAGTTTTGATGTTGGTTTTGTTTTCAGACTCAACAAGCTATGAAATCAAAGGTGTACCTGCTTGCGAATGCACAGCTAACAATGACAATTTTGGATCTTGTTCAATAGGTTGCCTAACTATAAGTAGCTTAAAAGTGGTGCTAATGAAGGTTTTTAATGTACCAATTTGCTTATTTATATGCTTTTGATTGATGAATACTATTTGGTTGTTGATTATTGTTATTAGGAAAAACCTCTATGCTTGGATTTTGCTTACTCACTAATACTGGTTTTCTTTTTGACTTGTTGGTTTTCCCCTTTCTTTTTTTTTTTTTTTGCACCCCCTAGTCTTTCAACCTTTATAGCAATATGATTTATAAAATATGAGAATAGGGATAATGACACATCATAATTCCAAAGCATTGCTAAACCCCCACTATGCCCTACACTTTCTATCATAAAGCAAATGTGAAACTTCAACCTTTGATGAATTTTATCCATACCCCTTTTATCTAGTAATGTTTCACACAAGAACACTGTTGCAGGCTTTTTCAACCTCACCAATTTGATTAGGCTCTGAACTGCTTGAGGTTTCCTAAGCCTCTCATAGTTCCAACAAAATAGACTTATAGTGACCGACAGGTCTGTAGAGCAACACTCACTAATAGAATAAAATGGACTACCATTATCATTGTCACGCTCCAAAACCCAAATCCGGGGACGTGGCAAACGCCGTACACTCGTGAGAGGGTCCCACAAATGCACAAGGCTCGAAACTTATCCAATTCACATCTAACAATCTAATAACTTAAATCAATTATCTCAAAATAATTCTATATCCAACATGACTTAAACTCAAAATCTCAAGGTCAAATCTCTTGTAACTAACAATTCATCAAATGAATTTATAAAAATCTCCAATTAAAATCTAGCTTACAAGATCATGATTTATATCTAAAATCTATGTTCAATTTACAAGATGGCTAGCCTTCTAACTCGTCACTCCCCTTGTTTTTCCCCATCCTTGACCTCGCTTCCTGAAATGGTGGACAAGGAAATACTATGAGATAACTCAGTAAGTAAATATGGATAGATTTTAATTAAACTTATAGCATGCCAACAAGTATAATCACAAAAAAGCAAATACGAGTACGGGCATGAAATAGACGTCTCCTCTATAGGTCATGGCCAGTGTTATAAACCACCCACTGGCAGGCGTACTATTTGCTGGTGTATAACTCCCATTAGCAAGGTCACTCAAACGAACCGGTTCTATCAATAACATGTTGACATATGCTAGCGTTTATAAACCTCCCACTAGCGGGCACACTAATAACATGATCACATCGGAGACAAAACAAGCATAAGTTAACAGAAAAACCATAATTCACCAATCACTTTCAGATCATCAGGACAATCAATTAAATTTCAAGTAGGCATGCTCAATTTAATGAGAAACATAAAAATTCACTTCAAGTCAGTCATACTTACTTTTGTATAAAACGGGTTTAGTCCCGCCACCACTTCAAAAACAAGTCAAAACAAGTCAAAACATGCTTTTAAAAGCTGTACGGGCATTACCATAAATTTACTTACCTCAATCGCACAAAACAGAAGGCTTAACCCAAGTGCTAGGGTGGTAGAATAGTCGAGAACCTAGCCAAAATATTCCAAAATTAATACCGCGCTACCACAAATTCAAAGTGAAATCAACATTAGGACTACCCCTAATTACAATGCTATTTCTATCAGTTTCCACATGACCGAACATCTCCAAATTTGTTCTTATATTACAAACTAAACATTTAAATCCCCGTTAATGGTTAGCCATCAGTGCCTGAACAATAGCCATGAACAGTAATCACGCAATGAACAGTAACTGCAACATCCAAAAATTGGCAAAACAATGGCTAATTCACGGGATTTTTCTCCAAAATCACAACCGCCCAAATCAAGCTAAATCATGGTCTAATTACTGTCAAATTTCTCCCCTATTTCCAGCAGAAAATTCGGACACACAGGACAGTAATTACATGGATAATTCAACAACCAATTGATGAAATTTTAGGCTTGGAGGAGCTGTCAACATACCATAATTTTCCAACTGCAGAACCGGACCTGGCAGGGGGAGAAGCCGGCGGCAATCTGCAGGGGACTCACGGAATTAACCCAAAATTGAAGGAACAGCAGATTTAAAATGAACCCAAGCTAAATCAAGCTGAAAGATGAAGTTGATGGCTGTAGCTTACCGAAAAAAAGCCCAGAATTTAGTGCCTAGTAGCACTGGTGGACAGGGGAGGAAGAGCAGAGTAGAGCAGATCTGGAATTTCTGGGTTGAGGGAGAGAGTTCTAAGTCCTAAAACTTGTTATTGAGCAAGAAAGAAGGAGAAATTTCAAGCTTCTCTTACCGACTTTTTTTTTCCAAGTGGAGGTGTCGGGCTTGGCTTCCTTGTTCGGTGCAGGGGAAGAAAAGAAGAGCAGAAACATGAAATGGCTGAGGAAGAAAGAAGGAAAAATAGCTAATCCTTATCCAAATCTTCCTCTTTTAAGTCCCTCAAGTTTGGATATTTTAGCTAATAAGTCCCAAAATAATATTTTCTCACACAAAGGTCCTTAACTTAAATACTAAAATTCCCAAAAATTTGGGATATTACAATCACCTTCTCCTTTACAATGCTTCTCATAGCCCACTGGCTCATACTCCCCTTTGTACGCTTTATCATCTTTCTTTTTCACCCTTTGAGTCATTGACTTTGTGATGAAAGCATGAAAATGCATATTTAAAATGTACTTAACCATTGACATTTGTGGAATTATAGGCCTAAGAATTGTATTTTTCGACAAGTAATTTCATAATTATTCATTTTATTGATGTTGTGCAAATTTTGTGGTGATTGAAGGTTTGATGTTAAATGGAGAGAATAAGAAGAAAATGACTTGCATGCAAAGAGCTGGAAGATGAGGATTTAAGGATTAAATTTGGAAGTTTGAAGGCCGAAGTGGGATTTTCTCCATTTTTTATTAAGAGTACAATTTGTGAAGTTGCTCGTGACCAGTGCAAAAAGAAAAACAGAAACATTAGGAGTTCCACACCTTGTATCAGGTTCCAACCCTTGGTCAATCTACACAAAAACAAAAACATCAGGGGATTTGCACCCTGTAGCAGGTTCTAACCCCTTGCTTGACAATTGTGCGAGAAGAAAGAAAAAAATAAAATTAATTCCCCATGGTTGTTATCCTAATTACCAAACACTCTTATTTTATTCCAAATATAAATAGAAGTCTTTAAAATTAGGTTTAGCATCTATAGAAGTCACATTTAGGCTTTTATTTTCTTCTTTCCAGTGCTAGAAAATTATGTCCAAGCACAACTAAATTTTCAACAAGGCCAGAGAGGATATTGATTGAGGAGTTTAATTTGTTATTTTATTTTGATTCCTTCATAGATTTATTGTTTAATTTTATTTTTGAGAGATTATTAATTATTTTTTAGATTTAAAAACCTTAAAAATTATATTCATCAAATTTTGTATAAGATTAGTCATGTTCTTTTTATGTGTAATCTGTTAGAATATAATATTGGTAGATTTGTTTTATGGGTTGATCCTTTACTGTAGTATTGTCGATTAAATATATTGTCACTCTTGGATAACTTGTAAGGATAGATCAATTTGTTTTTTTATTGAAATTAATTTCTCTCAAAATAAATACATTAATTATTATTATTGGTCTTCAAAGTTAAATCTTTCAATTGTTTTTTTGAAATGTAAAACATGCAATTGAATAAATAGGAATCAAAATTTATAATAGTTGAACAAATCAATTAAGTGAACTTTAAAGTCTTGTTCATTATAATATTGTTTTCAATCCTCAATAATTATCATATTTTATTTAAATATTTTTATTCTTAATTTTAGAAATCATCTTTTAATTTAATTCCTCATTGTGAAAACTCTTTTTGTTGGTTTAATATAGCTTTCTTGTGGATTTGACACCAAAGCTACGCTACAACAACCACTTAACCGAAAGGTATTAATTTTTGAGGCGAGACATCAAAATTTGGTGCTGTTGTCGGGAAAGCCAAATTGACAATTAGAGTTCGAACATGCTTCACTTTTCTTTTATTTCTTTTATCTGCTTCATTTTCTTTAATTTATTTTACTTTCTTGTTTTTATTTTATTTTCTTCATTTCAAAAAAAAAAAAAAGAGTAGATTAGAGTGTATGAGGAGACCAAGAAAGAAAAAAAAAGGGAGATTTATTAAACTAGATCCACCACCCTTTCAAAAAGAAGAAGTCAAGTCTAATTCATCATTTAATTTTGAAACCATGAGTCAAGACGGGGATCAACCTATTAGGACTTTGAAAGACTATTTGCACCCTACTAGAACAACTACACCATCATGCATAATGTTTCCTCCTAGTACACCGCACTTTGAGTTCAAACCTGGAATGATTCAACTTTTGCCTAGTTTCTATGATTTAGAGAATGGAAATCCATATGTGCATGTTAGGGAGTTTGAGGAGGTAGTAGCTACTTTTCATAGTTGAGCTGACACTATAGACACAATTGGGTAGAAATTCTTTCCCTTCTCCTCAAAAGACAAAGCTAAAATTTGGTTATATTCTTTGAGAGCAACATATATAGGTACATGGGTAGAGATGACCCAAGCTTTCTTTAACAAGTACTTTCCACAACATTAGACTAATAATTTTAAAAGAAAAATCTCCACATTTTCTCAAAAGGATAGTGAAACCTTATAGCAAGCACGGGAGAGGTTTAAGGAATTGCAAAACTAGTATCCACATCATGGGTGTGAAACTTGGGGGTTGGTTAGTTATTTCTATAAGGGTTTAACTAGTAGGGAGTGTCAATTCAGAGAAATGATGTGCAATGGGGAGTTTTTGCATAAGGACCTAGAAGAAGCCATAGATTATGAAATGAGTTAGATAAAAAAAGCTCACATTTGGACAGAACTTAGTGCCACTGATAGTACTAGTAGGTCACAATCATCTAGGATTTCTCGCCTTATGGAGGAAGATAACCTTAAAGCCTAGTTAGAAGCTGCAACTAGGTAACTTGAGACATTAAAAATGAAAAATAATAGAGTCACCCACACAATTGCTAGGGTAGAAACCTAGGTTCCATGTTTTGTTTTAGGGGATTGGATCATTTAGCTTAGGATTGCCCAACCTATGGTGAGATGAGAGGGGTTTACAGGGAACAATGCAATGCATTAGGAATAGTTAGGAATCTTTTCACCCTATTTAGAGATGTACAATCCTAGTTGGAGAAACCATCCCAATTTTAGTTGGAAGACTGATCAAAACCATCCAACATCATTCAACAATACTTGAAATAGTGAAGCTCAACCACTTAGGTCTTACCTTATACCTCAATACAACGCACGACCAGATAGGAATCCTTTAGAGGAAACACTTGAGGCATTTATGGAGGTACAAAATAAGACTAACCAAAAGTTTGATTCTATTCTTACACATGTAGTTGAAGAAAACAAGGATATCAAAAGTCAACTACCTAAGTTGACCAATGCTTTTATTGTCTAAGAGCGAGGTAAGATTCCATCTCAACCCCAAGCTAATCTTAAAAATTTACATTTGGTGCAAGAATCAACCTTTAATCTGGAGAACATTAAAGGGGTCAACACTATCACTACTCGTACTGGTAAAGTTATAGAGTCATTGTAGAAATCATCTCAACTAAAGGACGCTACTCCAAGAAGTCATGAAGATGACATGTTGAAAGAACCTGAGAAGGAGGTTCCAATTTGAGTTCCTTTCCCTCAAGCTTTTAGAACTGAAAAGATTTTAGACAACCAAGGTGAGCTTTTAGAACATTTGAAACAAGGTAAAATTAATCTACTTTTGTTGCATGTGATTAACAAGTACCAACTTATGCCAAAGTAATTAAGGATCTATACACCATGAAAAGGAAACACCATGTCAAGAAAACCGCATTCTTGATAGAGCAGGTAAGTGTGCTAATTGAGTAGAAAACATCACCAAAGTATAAAAATCCAGGGTGCCCAACAATTTGCCATCAAATTGGGTCACAAAAGTGGGGTCAAGCTCTTTTGGATTTAGGAGCATGTGTAAATTTAATGCCTTATTCAATTTATTTGTAGCTAGGTCTTAGAAAGATAAAACCCACATATGTGGTGTTGTAATTGGCTGATTGTTCTTATAGGAAACCAAGAGGGATAGTAAAAGATGTTTTGCTTCAAATTGATAAATTTTATTATCCTATTGGTTTTCTTGTTTTAGATACTCTGTCTAAAGTTGACAGTGAGTCAAAGATTCCACTTACTTTAAAAAGACCATTTCTTGCTACTGTTACTGCTCTCATTAATTGTAGGAATGGTTTGATGAAACTTTCATTTGGGAATATGACTTTTGTGGTGAATATTTTTCATGTTGGGAGGCAACCACAAAAAAATGATGAATGTTATCATTCTTACATGATTGATTCACTTGTTAAGGAAGTACAAGATAGGGAAAATTGTAAATCTCTATAACACTTCCTATATGATTTTGACTTAAATTTTAAGTTTTTGCTTTATCCTGTTAATGATATTCTTAATGTTTCTTTTATTTTTAATGTTGATCAGGATAAGCAAAAGAAGTTTTGGCAACCACACTTTGAGGAGTTACCACATGAAAGGGAACACCGAAAGCCATCTTCACTAGAAACACCAAAAGTAGAGTTATCCCCATTCCCTGAAGGGTTGAAACATGCATTCTTGGGTCTAGGTGATACCTTTCCTGTTATAATATCTTTTAAACTTAGTGTTGAGCAGGAAGAGAAATTGGTGCATATATTAAAAGAATATAAATCTACACTATGTTGGATTATAGCTGACATTAAAGGTATAAGCCTGTTGATTTTTTCTCATAGATTCATTTAGAAGAAGGATCTATCCCACGTAGAAACCTTTAAAGAAAAATGAACCCAACAATGAAAGAAGTTGTTAAAAAGGTCGTCTTGAAATTGTTAGATGAAGGAGTCATATATCCTACATTTGATGGTAAATGGGTTAGTCCTACTCAAGTAATACCAAAGAAATTAGGGTAACAGTAGTTGAAAATATGAGGGAGTTCTTGTACCAATTAGGGTAGTAACTAAGTGGCGCATGTATATTGATTATAAGAAATTAAATGCAGTCACTACGAAAAACCATTTTCCATTACCATTTATTGACCAAATTTTAGAACGTATAGCTAGCCATCCTTACTATTGCTTTCTTGATGGTTATTTAGGTTATTATCAAATTGAGATAGCTTTAGAAGATCAGGAAAAGACTACTTTTACATGTCCTCTAGATACTTATGCTTTTCGTAAAATGCCATTTGGTTTATGTAATGGTCCAGCCACTTTTCAATGTTGTGTGCTTATCATATTTTTTTAATTGGTTGAGGAAATAATAGAAGTTTTTATGGATGAATTGACTGTTTTTGGTGATTTTTTTGATTCATGCCTACTTAATTTGAAAATTGTTTTAACTAGGTGATGCACTAAAATCACCCTAGCAAGTGTACTAGTCGCCCCAAGTAATATAATGATGAATAGAGTGTCGAACCCACGTGGATTGTGTCCAACTAAGTACCAAAATAATTAATCCAAATTTATTTGAACAATCAAATAGGAAGAAACTTTAATTGAAAATAATAAAAA